ACCAACTTCAGACCTGTAAGTCCCCCCTCCCTCTCATCTTCTGCCACCACCAGCCCCCTCTTCTTGCCCCTCTGACACCCCTCACCCATCCAAACAGCCCCTGAAGAGCCCTGATGACAGAGAATGATGCTGAAGCTCTCATCCTCTAAAAAAGTTCACTTTCAGAACATCATGAAATAGAATAGATATATATTGAGAATAATTATGTGAAATACATGTTCCAGGAAGCAAAGGCCAAGTCATGAGTATGAATGAGAGAACACTGTTGTTGAGTCACAGAGGTGGTTGTTGTTGACTTGTGGAGGCTGTCATCAAGTTGCACAACATGATGATGAACTGGTGGGGTGGAGTAAGTAATGGAAGGAGGGATTAGGGTCAGTGACACACTATGCTGGGTCTCCCACTGCTCAGGTCTCCCTTGTGGTCCTTCTCTCCATCCAGCTCTTCCATAACCCTTATTGGAGGGCATGGGCATGGAGATGTTGGACCTGACATTGATCTGTAGAGGCGGTCATTGAGTTGTTGGAGCTGACATTGAGTTGTGGGGGACTGACATTGAGCCATGAGAGAGCAGCTTCCAGTTACTGTGGCCGATGTTGAATCAGCAGACCAGCAATGAGACATGGGGCCTATTATCAACTTGTGTGATGCAACAGAGAACTAGCAGGTGAGTAAGGAAGAGTGGAAGAAGAGGTAGTCAGTCACTCACTGCGTTGGGTGTTCAGTCTCCGGCTACTCAGGTCTCCAGTTACTTGGGTCTCCCTTTGTTTTCCTCCTCCTCCATTCAGCCCTTCAAAATGTGCCCTGACCCTCATTGGAAGGCACAGGTGCATGGTGTAGGTATCTATAGTAGAAGAGGGAGAGGAGAAATGGTGATAGTAGCAGCAGAAGAAAGAATGCGATGATGTAGCACACAATTATGGCCAGCACAAGTCACCTGATCATTTACCTTACTGTCTACAAATGACATAGTATTCACATACTCTGCTCACATGACCTAGCAAGTCACATGCTACTACAGAAACAGTGTCTCTCTATCTCTGCAACGGCTGCAGCTACAGCTCTGAAATTTTATACACCATGAGGCGATGTTCAGAGAAGCTTACATAAGCACCTTCAGATCTTCAGGGGTGCTGTGGCATGAGATATTGCATGTTTTAAATGCAGAAAACCCGCACCTCTATATCTCAACACCTACTAATCCTACAGGTCTATAAGTTTGAAGCCAACATTACCTATATTATATCTACTTGTGTACAAATTTTCAGGTCTGTTGATGTTCTTGATGCCAAGATATTGCAATATGCGCATTGTTTTAAATGCAGAAAACCCACACCTCTATATCTCAACAGCTACAGATGCTACAAGTCTATAAATTGGAGGCTATTATCAATCATATTATATCTACCAGTGTACCAATTTTCAGCTCTGTTGATTGTCTGGATGCCAAGATATTGCAAATATGCACATTGTTTTAATGCAAAAAACCTGCACCTCTATATCTCAACACCTACTGATGCTACAGGTCTATAAATTTGAGGCTATTATCAACCATATTAGATATACATCTGTACTGACTTTCAGAGTCTGTGCCTAAGTAACATGTTTTTTTTTTGGTGCAAACCAGTAATTTAAATATGCAGCCATGAATAATGAATGTACATCTATGGACTCTACATTCTCTAATAACCCTCTGTATCCTACATAATGCTGCCAAGGTGTTCCAGTGCTCTGGTCCTTGCCAGGGATAGAGATTTGAGTGCATATTTTCAGCTATTTTTAGAAATCAGCACTATTTAGTCAATTGTGCACACAATTCTGTGCACAATACTGATATTTTGGGACCAATATAACTGAACATTATGACTTGCACGAGTCTGGTCTCAGATACCATGGACCGG